TTTAATGTTTCTGGATTATTGTTGCTTCTACATTTTGAATACCTGTTTTTAATCTCCACGAGAAAAAGAAAGGATACAATTTTTACGAAAAATAAAAAATTATTTCTATAAATTGTACGAACGTAAAATCTAATTTTTGAACAAAAAATAAGCGAATCAAAATCCAATTTCAGTGCGTATGCAATCTGTATTTATTTAGAATCTAGACTAATCACAATGTTAAAGTGATTCGGCCTGTATTATATTAAATTAAACATATTTAAAATAAAAATATAAATTAAATATATATGTATTTTGGCGTTTGCCACTTGAGCGTGATTGTTCAACCTCCAAATTTCACAATCTCTTTGGGGATTCAGCCAAGATTCAGCGAGTTACACAGATATGCAAGTGTAACAGTGAGTGGCAAAGGGAACTGCGAATTTTGAAAATCATAAGAAGTGTGTGAGGCTCAGAGAATTGCGATTGTGATTTTGCGAAGGAATCGGTGGTGGAGTAGAGTGGAAGTTCAAACGATTTTACGGCAACACAGCTGAAGAAAATGCTCAGAGCGAGAAACCTGTGCAACGTAGACGTGAAGCAAGAGCTAATCGCCAGACTGACGACGAACGATCCAACAGGATCGTGGATGCATGGAAGCTCGAATTCTTCTTCGTCGGAAGAAGTGAACGATATCCGGGTTGTGAATATTTTATTGAAGAAAAGGGCGGAGAGTAAAAAATATTATAAAAGTGACTTAGTCGCGGTCAAAAGAGTGCTGCAAGGTCCAGGGTTAAAGTTCGCGGCAAAATACTTTGGACCGTACGAGATATTGAAACTGTTGAAACGATATTGTCGCAAAATTTAGTGAACGTAGCGAAGGACCATAGTGAACGTCCACAGCAGTAGAATATATTAAACTATAGATAAGTGAAGGTGCAATGATAATTTTGTGCAATGAGGACAGCGACAATTCATATAGTGATAGTTAAATAACATAACCTTCTCCGTGTGAATAATTAATATTTAATTAGTGTAACATTCTTCCTGTAAAAAATTAACAGGCAGTGCAATATTTAAGGCCGAAGGATGACTCGAGAAGTCCTAAAAGCCTACTACAGGTCAAAACATTAAGGGAGCTCAGGCATTTGTAAACGTTGTATGAAGCTATGTACAATAACTGTAAAATAATATAACAAGAGGAAGAAAAATAGGGGGGAGTGTGAATTTGTACGTTGAACAAAATATACATTTTGGGATGAAGTGCGTGAGTGACAATCATGGAATAAACAAAATAAACGCGGAATCGTCTAGAATTGACAGCATGTAATCTAATTTAGTTAATTCAGTTTAATCGAATATAGTAAATATATATTAAATTAAATGTACCTATTTTGCTTTACACTTGGTCTTGATTGTTAGCAATCAGTTGAAAGAAATCAATTCTTAATTTCGAAATTTATTTCATGCATCAAATGTTACAAATATTCCGTTTTGAATATTTTATATATTTTTATACATTTTCATTTTTTCACGACAGAAAAATATTATTAAAATATAATATATCGTTATAAAAAATATACTCTGTCTCAAATCAGTTGTTACATTGATACGACTTATTTTATTTGATGTCTAAAGATAGTAGGTTCCTATGTTTATTAATTTGACATTCTTAAAAATACAGTTGTCATTTTAAAAGTGTTATAAATCGTAATTTGAAAGTTCAACATTTCAACATTGTAAAGATGATAAACTGGAGTTGCATCAGAAGAAAATGCAGTGGAAATAGCTTTTTAAAAAATGTAGAGAGGAAAAAATTGCACAATATTTTTCTAACGCTACAAACTTGTATAGGAAACGCAATAAACTCGTACAAGATAATGAACGTAAACGAAGAAAAATTCAAACTTGAAAGTTGCTTGTTATGATCACTTTACTAAAAACTGCTTAAATATTATTTAAGATTAAATTATTGTTAAAAATTTTCGTTTAAGCAAATCTTTCATTTTCACCAAACTTTGTTTATATTTTATTTTTATTTTATTTTATTACATGTATGACAGCTATTCTGTTATAATATTTACACGCCATATGTGACAACTAATTTGAAACGGACGGAGTATTATTCCTTCATTTTATAAATATGTACGCAATCAATTTGCGAAGACTTTCGTCTAACGATATTATTTTATTTGCAGATGGAAGCATTAGTGGGATATCAAGACTGCATTCGATTCTTAAATGGAAGGCTTTCAGGGCGAGTTGAACGATCTACAACACAAGGTACGTGTGCCAAACATGAAAATATTAATCCTAATATTAATTCAACATCCAATGCTGCACTATTACGAAATCTTCGTTTCCACGACGAGTCTCCAAGTGTGTACTCCCTAGCTTAAACACGTGATCCGAAAAGTCGTTGCACTTGAAATCGAAGGGTTCGAGACGCGGGATCAGGATCGAAAACCGTTTAAAACCGTAATGGTCGTTACGCGTATCGGCGGAATCGAACATCGGTCTCGCACGTTCCCGACAAAGGCAGCCACGGTGCCTTTCATCCGGAGCCAGGGACCTTTCTCGTATGCAAATCCTGTTCCTAGATCCATAGCAGCACGCGACCCGCCGCTGCCTCGAATTCACATTCAAATTTCCCGCTGCGAGGTTGCACCGCGTTTTTTGCATCGTTAATTCCCACGTGAAGCGTGCACTTGTTACCCTTCGAGGGGTAAGGAAAGAAAGAAAGAAAGGGATACCTAACTGTGCGAAGAAGCAAAGGATTTTTTAGTCTATTAATGACCAGTCACTGCGCAGAGCATCGTCCTCGGTTTTCACTCATTGGTAACCTACCAGTATACAGATATTTTACCTGAACGATTCGTTGAGGGAATCGGAGCGAATATGGTACTCGAATGCGTACGTTGGAATCGACGATCGAACTTTTAAAAGAAGGGCGAGGGAAGGTTCAACGTATCGAAAGAAATTGGATGTTTCTTTGTGTTTCGGTAACTTGGTATGATCAGTGTTTTTAGACGATGTTATAAACTTTTGACTTGATTTATTTACGGATAGAAAATGGTTTTTCGTAGTAACCAGATGTGACCACAACGTGAACTTCCGTCCAAATGTATAAATATCTCGACAAATGTAATTGTATCAACCTCGAATGATATAATTTTAGAAATTATACATTCTTTCTCACACTTTGAATTTTTGCAGTGTGAAAGAAATCGAAGTTCCCGTAAACATTTGCGAAGAGAAGTCTATCGCGTTTTCCCTTCAAATTCGTAGAAACTTCTTTTAAAATCGTGAATCATTTTCTACTTTTCTAATTGTAGTTCACAAATCTTTTGTTTCTACCACAATCTATCTACCTTAATTATTCTTCTGCAAGCATATTCCTATCTACGGCATTTAAAATCTTCATCTTCCACGACGTTTTTCTACCACAGTCGTCTCTGCGTCCAGTAGGTCGCAAACGATCATCAGGAGCATGGGAATAGATTTCAAGGGGTGATCTCGTGAGCAGCTCTCCCCCCC